GCATCGCTAGTAGTAACAAGTGCCTTACTAGTAGTAACAAGAAGCTAGTAGAAACAAGTGCATCGCTAGTAGTAACAAGTGCCTTACTAGTAGGAACAAGAAGCTATTAGAAACAAAACAAGTGCATCGCTAGTAGTAACAAGTGCCTTACTAGTAGTAACAAGAAGCTAGTAGAAACAAGTGTTAAATCCAAGTGCCATGTCCATCCTCTCCGTAGGACTCGCAGGCCATGTTGGCCGAGTTTCAATCCGCCACCCGGATCAGGAGCCGAGCCAGCCGCTTCGCCGGTTGGCCCAAAACAGCGGTTGGTCCAAAAGCGGTTGGTTCGGAAAACATCAGGTTTCGTTGATTGTTCGCCTCCTTTTTTTGACTTAGCTGGCGCCAGTTGATTGTTGCATGTTTTCGGGACTTGTTTGTAGCCTGCATTTCTGTTCTGCTATATCAGCTGATGAATGTTCTTGTGTTTTCGGTTCGTGTTGCGTTCAACTTTTGAAAGGGGCGGGAGGGCTGGCGGGCGGGCGGGCGTTTACGCGACTTTTGGTCAGTTGCGCCGCAGTTTCGTTTCGATTGTCGGAGGGACCCGCGTGTTTCGTCTCGCGTGTTGGTTTGGCTCATTCGTTTGTTGGGTCCGTGTTTTCTGGCTTTATGGACGCATGGACTCTTTGGCTGGGGTTTTGGTCACCGGTTGGTTCCTGCTGGAAGCGTCCTTGGTTGGAAACCGTTTTAGTTGGAAGATGCTTGGTCTGTTCGCTCTTCGGAGCTCTCTTCTTGTTTGTTACAACATGGTCTGTGTGGTGAGAAGGGGCATGTGCGCGCTCGCGAGATCGAAGCGATGCCCCATTGCTTCTCCACCATGCTCAGCAATGAATTCCCGTGGCGATCGGTACAGAGTCGCAACATACAGACAGGGCAGACGATGCACGCCGGACGATGTTCGGATGAGCCGTTGCCCCGCCATCAGGTTTTGAGCATCATAAATGAGTCGAGACATATTCTATTCGAGTGCCACCTCACAAAACATCAGCCGCCTTCGCGGTGAATTGGCAGTTCTTTTCAGAAGAAGAGGGCCGGTTGAGCTCGCGCCTTGGGCGTTCTTTTTTTGTGGCCTGTTGGTGGTAACATGCGGCAACTTAACATGTTAAGAGACTCCCTGGCATTGACCCACTTGCGATCTTGGACAATGGGCAATGATAGGACCTAAGGTTCCAGGCTTCTTCTTTTGGCATTTTGGTAGGATTGGCAATGGGGCAATTACTGTAATCAAAGAAGTGCATGGAGGATGCTTGGTCAGATGTTTCATTCCTTTACAAGAGGTTCACTTGTCAGTCTCTCCAGTTGTGCACCTCAGGCTAATTTGTTAAACCAATTTGCCTGACTCATGCATACCGTGACCACACTCCAGGATGACAGTGGTCTCGCGGCTAACTCCCTTGCAGAAGAGAACCTTTTACTCCACAATAAGAGCTGAGAGAGAGATGAAGAAAGCAAACGACATCGCGCAAATGCTCATCCCAGCTACTGCAGCTCAGATCTCTGGAGATGCCGCATGTAGTATTTGCTTGGATGACATGAAAGAAATCGAGGCTGTATGCTTGCCTTGCGGTCACATTTTTCACACGGAGTGTGCCATGAAATGGCTCACCAAGAGGTCGCAGTGTTGTCCCTTGTGCAAACGACAGGTCACCTGACAGTTTGTGAAAGATCACATTTTCCTGTCCAACTCGCCGCAGAGGTTTCTTTCCCGCGAGTGGGACTGGCAAGGATGCCATTTTTCGATAATTGTTTGAACGACCTTGGCACGGGGCTGAAGTGCTGAAACTTGTCAAGAACTGAAACCAAGGCTTTAGAAAGAAATCGTTGCAACAACAAGATGTTCCTCGGAAAGGTACCCCATGGTGCTAGGGTCAAGAGTCAACAGTTCTTACATTCGTGAATACTCTCCAATACATAAAATTTAAATATTGGAGAGTTCCTGCATTGCGAATGTGTAGCTTTGCGCATGGCAGCAAGACCCTGCAAGATCCTGTGACACGAACAGAAAACGCAATAACTTTGAGTGAATGCGTGGAACGGTTCAATTGACCCAGGTCCTTTAAGCCGACCTCTAAGTAACCTGGATAGAGTCTGATTTTGTTCTGTTGATTTTGATATGTGTACCTTTCTTCCTCTTCCTTTCTCGCTCTTTTCCTTCCGTTCTTCTCCTTTCTCAACGTCGTAGCTTGCCTGACTGGCCCGACCTACGGCGGCCAGGAATGAAGGTGAATTTCGATCATGGTTGAATTACTTGTTTCATGTGTATGATGCAATATCCTCTTTGAAATCATATGAAATCAGGGGGGCCATCCCACACGTATTGTAACATACATCTTGTTTCCTTGGTTTTTTTCCCGAATGCGTAGCGAAGGGTTCTCGTTTAACTCTTGGGGGTCTGGGGGTAGAGTCTTGTTCGCGACCCGTTGCTTCTATGTTCGCAACCGTCCGCAACCGTTCGCAACCGTCCGCAGTAGGTCGCTAAGGCGCTGCCATTGGGGGAAGCTTTTGCAAGTGACTATTCATGGATGTGTCACGTGTCAGTTTGCGACGCTAGTCCATTGTGATTTGCGTGAAAATGATATGTCGCGCAAGAAGCGTGATGCATTTCGCTGCACAGGCGCAGCGTTTTGTGAGATCTGCAGATTGCTGCGCAGTTCCATTGGGATTAGCGTTTGGAGAGTCGTGTTTTTGGGGTGTTGGATGTGGCCGTGCCATTGGGATTTGCGTTTCAGGGTGTGGCATCGAAGCTCTGTTTTCGTGACAAGTCTCAGCTGAAATGCCGATTTTGGTGGATGGGAGTGTGCTCAGAACGGGTCGAAATCATTCCAAACGTGTGGTGTGGTGCAAATTTTGTTGAAGCTCACATGAGATGACATTGTTACTTTTCGTGGCAGGCGCAGGACTTTGTGCGGGTTTTGAGGTGTGGAAGTATGATTTTCGTGGCAGGCGCAGGGAATCGTGAGGTTGCGATGTGTGACGGAGGTGACATTTCGTGGCAGGTGCAGTACTTTGTGCGCGTTAGACGTGTGGACGCGGAAAGATTCGTGGCAGGCGCAGGGAATCGGGAGGTTGTGAGTTGTGGTAGAGGTGAATGTCGCTGTCACATTGGGATTGGCGTGTGAGCGGGTGTCGTTTGGAGGGGCTGGAATCGCGAAACTGCTTGGCAGGGCTGCGTGATGTGTGTGCTCCGATGGGTGTTTCCGCTGGACTTTTGGAGGAAGTCTCGTGCGAAACGTTCGTTTTGCAGACTTTGACATGTGAGTTTTTGAGGAAGTCTCGTACGAAACGCTCGTTTTGGGGACTTGACATGTGACTTTTGGAGGAAGTCTCGTACGAAACGCTCGTTTTGGAGACTTGACGTGTGACTTTTGGAGGAAGTCTCGTACGAAACGCTCGTTTTTGAGACTTGACGCGTGACTTTTGGAGGAAGTCTCGTACGAAACGCTCGTCTTGCAGCCTCGCAGCGTGGCTTTTGGAGGAAGTCTCGTACGAAGAGTGTGCCCTACAGGAGTGTCCCACAAGAGTGTCCTACAAGAGTGTCCCACAAGAGTGTCCTACAAGAGTATCCCACAAGAGTTTCCTACAAGAGTGTCCCACAAGAGTGTCCCACAAGAGTGTCCCACAAGAGTCTCCTACAAGAGTGTCCCACGAGAGTGTCCCACAAGAGTGTCCCGTATGAGTGTCCCACAAGAGTGTCCCACAAGAGCGTCCCGCATGTCCCACAAGAGTGTCCTACAAGAGTGTTCCACAAGAGTGTCCCGTATGAGCGTCCCACAAGAGTGTCCCACAAGAGTGTCCTACAAGTGTGTCCCACAAGAGTGTCCGACAAGAGTGTCCCATAAGGGTGACCCACAAGAGTGTCCTACAAGAGTGTGCAACAAGAGTGTCCCGTAAGAGTGTCCCACAAGAGTGTCCTACAAGAGTGTCCCACAAGAGTGTCCTACAAGAGTGTCCCGTAAGAGTGTCTCACAAGAGTGTCCCACAAGAGTGTCCCGCAACCATGTCCCACAAGAGTGTCTCACAAGAGTTATGAGTGTCCCACAAAATTGTCCTATAAGAGTGTCCCACAAGAGTGTCCCACAAGAGTGCCCTACAAGAGTGTCCCACAAGAGTGTCCCACAAGAGTGTCCCGCAAGAGTGTCCCGCAACAGTGTCCCTTAAGAGTGTCTCACAAGAGTGTCCCTTAACAGTGTCCCACAAGAGTGTCCCACAAGAGTGTCCCGCAAGAGTGTCCCGCAACAGTGTCCCGCAAGAGTGTCTCACAAGAGTGTCCCTTAAGAGTGTCCCACAAGAGTGTCCTGCAACAGTGTCCCACAAGAGTGTGTCCCACAAGAGTGTCCCACAACAAGAGTGTCCCACAAGAGTGCCCTACAAGAGTGTCCCACAAGAGTGTCCTACAAGAGTGTCCCACAAGAGTTTCCTACAAGAGTGTCCCACAAGAGTGTCCCACAAGAGTGTCCAGAGTGTCCCACAAGAGTGTCCCACCAGAGTGTCCTGCAAGAGTGTCCCACAAGAGTGTCCCACAAGAGTGTCCCAAATGAGTGTCCCACAGGAGTGTCCCACAAGAGTGTCCCGCAACAGTGTCCCTCAAGAGTGTCTCACAAGAGTGTCCCTTAAGAGTGTCCCACAAGAGTGTCCCGCAACAGTGTCCCACAAGAGTGTCCTACAAGAGTGTCCCACAAGAGCTGCCTACAACAGTGTCCCACAAGAGTGCCCCATGAGAGTGTCCCACAAGAGTGTCCTACAGGAGTATCCCACAAGAGTGTCCTACAAGAGTGTCCCACAAGAGTTTCCACAGAGTGTCCCACAAGAGTGTCCCACAAGAGTGTCCCGTAAGAGTGTCACACAAGAGTTTCCTACAAGAGTGACCCACAAGAGTGTCCCACAAGAGTGTCCTACAAGAGTGTCATTTGGACATATGTAGCTTTTTGAACGTGTTTGCATTCGGGTTCGTGGGCTCCATCTGGTTTCCTTTCAGATGTCATCTCCTTTGCTCCAGGGCTTCGACTTCCAAGCCGTCGCCTTTCTGCCGGGCATCCCCACGGTCATTGAGAAGCAGGCCCTAGCGGCAAACCTGGCGGACGCCCTTGAGGCGTCGCATGTTCTCAAACGAGCACTGCCATGGCCACCTTGAATGGCTGGGGGCTAGTGGACCCAACGAAGCCCGCTCCGCTCCGAATGAACTGAAGAGGTGTTCACCGTTCCGCATCGAGGGCGAAGTGGGGGTCCTTGACCACCCCAACGGCCGACTCGCGGCCCCACAGACTCGAACAGGGCGCCCTGTGGCCCTGTGGGTATCTGAATTTGGTCGACTCGATCAGGCAACACAACATACAAACTCCCATCCACATATGTCGAGATTTATATTATATTACGAGTATTGTGTTGAACTTGCCAAAAGAACACAGGTGCATTCTAAGATCGTGTCGTGAGTCTTTTGTTGGGAGCTCTACTATACTGTTTGGATC